TCTTGATTGGGTATAACTTGTTCTGTATTGTTGTAGAACTCTGTTTAGGATTATTATATGAGGGTTGTTGTTGTTGTCTTTTTAAAAAGGAAACCCTTCCTTAATTTTGATATTTAAGGGGAAAAAAATGAGCCTCAGATCAGGGCATAGAGTAGTTTATTGCCTGTGATATTGAAACCTTATTTATACTTGTTTTCCTTTCTTTTTCCTTAACAAATACTGTTTCTTCTAGAGCAAGATTTTCCTCTTTTTTGTAGTTATGATGTTCACCTCTTGAGAAGTATAATCATAGTAGTCTTATTAATCTGATAGATTTTTAAGATTGTGCTCTTGGAAGAGATAGTGATGAGAGACTGCTGGTGATGATGAGCCAGATTGAAGCCAGAGGGTTAATTAGTGCTACCAGACAGACTGTATTATGTGGAGCACTTCCATCTTCAACTTGAGAAAGAATTGCCCTCTGCCATGATTACAACAGGATTTGAGTTCATCTTTTTTTCCTTGCCATGTCTTTCTCCCTAAAATCGGCTAATAGAATTTCTTTGCATGTAAAATACCTTTGGTACTAAAGTCTTCCAATTTAAGTTTTTTTTTCTTTCTGGAAAGCACACTGAAGATTGTTTCCAGATATTTTGCATGAGCAAATGTAGATTTTTCTAGCAACAGGATGCCTATCTAAAATTCCTGAGTAGATTTTTAAAAAATCAATGAAATTTCATTTTCCCCATGAAAATATTTGTTTTGGAAAACGCATGTTGTTGCACAGCAAGTGGGTAAAGCTCAGACCTGAGTTCTCATGCAGCACTTCCTTTCTGGGAGTGATCCAGGGCTGATTTGCTGTGGCCCTGCTGCTTTCCTAAAACAGCCCTAATGAGTTGAGTGCTGTCATAACTAAGCTTTATTACTAATAAAACAAGGATCTTTATAAAACACTAGGGGCCTAGTGCACGAATTCATGCACCTTGAAAGGAACTGTGGGCTGAGAGGCTGCGGTAGGCACAGGGGTGGGTCTCGGCCTATCCTCCGCACCACAGCCCAGCCTCTCCCACAGTGGCCCCTGGTCCCCTGTCTGCCAGCAGCCCTGCTCCCACTGCCGCTGCTCTCATGCGCTGATGGCGCAGGCCCTGCTCGCACCCGCTGATGGCACAGAGCGATTGGGGCCAGTGCCAGCAATGGGTGCGAGCGGGGCCTGTGCCATCAGGGTGAGTGAGCGGCGGCTGCTGCCCCAATTGCCCCTTAGGAGCAGGGGGAGGTGGAGAAGCCCTCAGGGCAATCAGGGCCTGCAGCCGCTGCTCGCACCTGCTGATGGCACTGAGTGATCGGGACTGGCTCTTGGCACTGGCAGTGGGTGCAAACGGGGCTGGCACCGGCAGTAGGTGCGAGTGCTGGGCAGGACCACGGCGCAGGAGCAAAGAATTTTCAGTAACCACCTGGCACTGGCAGTGGGTGCAAACGGGGCTGGCGCTGGCAGCGGTCCCACCTTGGTCTTGCACCTCCCACTCACCTGCTCCACCATCCTGCTGTGGCCAACACCCGCCATGTTCTGCACACGCCCCCTGGTGGTCAGCACACGTCATAGTGATTGGTTGTTTGGTTGTTCGGTTGTTCCACCGTTCGGTCTATTCGCATATTAGCCTTTTATTATATAGGATTTACTTTTAGAAATATAAGTAAGTGAGAGAGAATTAATGTTATACCTATAATACCATCATTCAGTTTCTTCCTTTCAAGATGGAAAGGGAAAAAGGAGTATTTAAACTCAACCCCACCTTTTAACCATCTGATGCTGCCTGACTTGAATGACCTCCTTTGGATGTACCAGCAATAGTTGTGATACTTGTCACACTGTGTTTTTCTCACTGTGACCTCATCCCCAAAGTTTTGTTTTGTTTTGTTTGTCAAAATTAGAGCACCAGAGTGGTTTTTCATGAGAATATCATCTCCCTGCACCTCAAAACAAACAAAACACAAACAAATAATAGTCATTGCTTTGAAAGTGCTGTTAGAGTTTAATTAAGCAAACTCTAGCTAATTACCTTCCGTAATGATGGAGCTTCTGCTAACACTTCACATTTGGTGGCTTTCTCTAGAAAAGACCTTGAAAGACACCATAGAGTTGAGAATGCATAGGGGTGGGGTGGGGTGTTTTTACCCCATTACATTGCTGAGGTTTAGAGAGAACACTTGGCTACTTGGCTGCTAGGCTGTCAGCTGCCTCATTGTTTGATATTGTCCCTGCCTTTCCTTTCAGCCCACTTAGGAAAGAGAGAATGCCTGTAGCCTCGCTTGCTAAGCTTTGTAATCTGCCGCAAGTGATGAAAGTCCTGATTAACGGTGTGTCAGACTCCCTTTCTCAGACAAGGTGGGGGTCCCCATTAAAGATCGGAAATGAACTCCAGACTTGACATGGATGAGGGAGGTATCATAACCCTGGCTTAGCAAATTGAGCACAATTGGGATACTATTAAAAACAACAACTACAACAACAACAAAGCTTCAAGCCAGAGTGCCTGGAAAAAAAAAAAAAAAGAAAGAAAGAAAAACGCCTTACATAACTCACTGCAGCAGGTTTGGGTTTCCTCTGGTTCAAGTTTTCTTGCCTCTTTGATAATCAAATGATCTGAAGAAAGGCATAAAGTTTCAAGGGAGAAGCTGTATGACAGGCTCACAATAGAGCCATTCACAAGGGCTCTTTTATTAACTTACACAGTATCACCATCATTCTTAGTCTCTGGCTTTACTACAAGGCTCCATTTAAACTTAACCCAACTTGCAGACATAACTGATCCAGGAATTACTCAATACAACCAGCCAGATACTGTAGCCTTTTTTCCCATTTGATAAAGGGATTTAACACAATGGGCTTTACAGTTCTTAAATGACTCCATTTTCCCCGTCTTTCCGATGTGGTGCTGGTATGACCTTTTGTTCTCAAAAAAATTTCACATGGTTTGATTATATTTTTTAAAAGTATAAACAAACACAATATTCATGCCCTACCTTTCAAGTTAAATTTTAAAATTTTGCGATGATACAGAAATGGAATTCATGTTATAATATTTACACAGCTGATTTCAAAACATTAGATATTATTGTTAACTATTAGATATTAAATTAGGCCTGAAAATATGTTCTTTATTTTTGAGGAAGGTTTTGATACAATACCTAGTAGTACTTCAGCATTGCACTTCCACTTTTGCACACTTCTGGTTGTCTGCTGGTTTTTATGCTACTACTTCTATTACAGTGCTACTACACTAATCAGGGCACACTTGGTTAGTCTCTGCATGGAGAAGAGAGGACAGAGCCCCGAGGATATATTTGGTAGCATACCACACTTTGGATCCATACCTCAGAATAGTGGCTCTCAGAGTTTATTAGGAACAAAAATCGACAGAATGTTTGATTAAAATGCAGATGCCTGGGTCCCACTCCCATAGACTGATTCAGTAGGTCTGGCGGGAGCCTGAGAATGTGCATTTTAATGAGCACCGCATTGATTCTGATGCTGATACTGAGAACTACGATCCTAAACTCACCAGAGGATGTTGGGAATAGTGATATTCCTCCTGTCGGGCCTGTTGCCTCCAGGTACTCAGGGACCATCTTGGATGAAGTGGCCCCTGGTGTGATTTCCCAGAGCTGTTGGTGGCAGGCAGAGAAAGATGCCTCTAGTACTTGCAGGGTTGAAGCAGCAAGCAACCTTTTCCTGTTCTGCTTGCTTCTGAGGCAGGGATCCACCATAGGCACCCCATTCCAGGAACACGCCTCACTGGGGGCTGGTTCTGGGTATTTGACAGTGTCATCTCACTTCTACCCCATCTTTGCATGATGAGAATTTCAGCATGGTTGTTATCTGCAGTATTTAATCCCAATTTACATCTCCTCTTCAACCCCTATTCAAGAAATTTTAGTTTTTAGAAACAAAGTTATATTTCCAAAGGATTTCCAATGATCCGTGGGTGCTTAAAAGCCTTCGGAGAATTATGGATGTAACACACTTGTTCATTTCATGAAGATGACAGATCGGGGAAAATGTGGTGATGACACCACTAATGTTCACAGCACTTTGCCTGAGATACTGCTGAGTGTGTTCTGCTTGTAGACTCTCCCTTCCCATGTGGTTGGAGGACTTTTTTATTATGAGAACTTTAACTTTTTAAATTTATTTTTCAATTACAGTTGACATACAGTATTATATTAGTTTCAGGTGCACAACATAGTGATTAGACATTTATATAATTTATGTGGTGATCCCCCCAATAATCTAGTACCCATCTGGCACCATACATAGTTATTATAATATTATTAACTATATTCCTAATGCTATACTTTACATCTCCATGACTAATCTGTAACTACCAATTTGTACTTCTTAATCCCTTCATCTTTTTACCCAGCCCCCCAACCACCCTTCCATCTGGCAACCATCAGTTTGTTCTCTGTATCTATGAGTCTGTTTCTGTTTTGATTGTTTATTTATTTTGGTTATTACATTCCACATATAATTGAAATCATATGGTATTTGTCTTTTTCTGTCTGATTGCTTTCACTTAGCTTAATACCCTTATGTCCTTCTGTGTTGTCACAAATGGCAAGATTTCATTTTTTTTATTGTTGCATAATATTCCATGGTATATATGTATTATATCTTCTTTATCATTTATCGATGGTCACCTAGGTTACTTCCATATCTTTGCTATCATAAATAATGTTTCAACATATATCTTTTTGAATTCGTATTTTATATTTCTTTGGATAAATAGCCAGACATGGAATTGGTGGGTCACAAAACTAGAGAATATAGCTTCCTGGTAGGCATCACCCAGTTTCCAGAGTTATCAAGATTTATCATATTGTTGGGTAGCTTTTTGTTTTTTCTTAAATGTTGCTTGTGGTTTTCTAATTGGTTCCGTTTTGGAATGAATAGAACTTGAGATGTTTTGCTCAGGGCCTGAGTGTAGTGGTCATGAGTAGTGATTTGCATATGTGCTCCTCAGGAATGTGTTCCAGAAGACCTGGAACTGAAGAAGAAGGTTTTTGCTCAGTTAGATGGAATCATCGGTGACGACGTTGTCCTCAGCAGCTCCACCTCATGCCTCTTGCCTTCCCAGCTGTTTGCTGGGTTAGTGCATGTGAAGCAGTGTATTGTGGCTCATCCTGTGAGTATGTCAAACCTGGATGTTGATCACATCTCCTTCTGGTTTTGGGGAGTATTACATTTTGTTTAATCCTCTAGTATTTTTTAATTGCTTTGTTGACATGTAATTCACATACCACACAATTCAAATTGTACAATTTAATGGTTTTTAGCATATTTAGAAAGTTGTGCAAGACCAGCATTTTCTAAAAGAATTTTATCCAAAAATTTTTTGGATTGTATCTATGTACCTAGTGCATAGTGGGACAGAACAAGCAATCCTTACAGACTTTCACCCTCAAGTAACTCACTGTCCAACCAAGGAGAGAGAATACTAAGCTAATAATTCTCCTACTGAAGAAAAAGTCTAATTAAAATAATGTGTACACTGAGTAGGATTTTATAGATCTGTCACTTGTACTGTGTGGGATAAGTTTTGCTAAAATGCAGATTTTTGAGTCTCACTTGAGATTTCAGTTCAGTACGAACCTCTCCTTCTCGGTGGTCCCGTCCACCCATCTGTTGTAATTACCTGGGCAAACTTACTCACTAGGAGTACAGTAGGAGGCTAGTAGGCAATGGGTTTAAAGTTGGCATCAGGCACTCAATGCGTCTTCTTGAGATTAATGTGTTAGTGTGAGGACCAGAGAGAGGAGTCACGGATCACTTGGTGGATGTTCGAGTCCCAACTGTGAGCTCAGCATGACCTTGGAGAACCCGGATGATCTGTTAGCACAGAAAAGCTAGCTTAGCTCAAGTCATCAGAAGTATGACAATATAGGATGATGATCACATCTTTAGCACCACCAAGCCTTTGGAGGTGAAGGCTCGGGAGAAGCTACACTAAGAGGCTGGGAAGATCAGATAGAATCTAGTTGGGCTGATGAGAAGAGTGTATGAGTTTGGGAAAGAGTATAAGAAAGACCCTAGGCTAAGAACTACAATCGAGTGTGCAGAATTATGAGGGGACCAGCTGAACTGGAAGAGCATATGCACTTGGGAGTCAGAGGAGAAAGTGAGAAGGCTTGGGAAGAGTTGTGTTGTGGAGAAACAGAATTGCTCTGAGGAATTGGACTGGTTCAGGTACAGAGCAGTGTGGTGATGCAGTAGAGACACTGTCTTTAGAGGGTCGACTGAAGGTGGCTCAGAGAGGGGGAAGCCAGTTCACAGAACCTGGGACAGCATTCCATGTGTGAATGGCCCCAGGAGAGGTTAGAACCTCTAGAACTGAGAGCAGGGATGTTCTTCCTTCTGAGCAAGAGTAGTTTAGAGTGAGGAGGTCTGAGGTTGACACAGGGAGGTGAAGGAAAAGAGCAAGTCACAGATGCTGGCTAGATTTTATATGGGCAAAGAGGGATGGCTTGGACTACCACTTGCAGGGCTGTGTGGTTCAGGATGTCTAGATAGCCTTGTACTGAAGTATAATGGAAAGTGTGAAGAATGATTATGAAATAATGAGACTTAGGCCCATAGGACATAGAATAAAACCAGTCAAATACAGTTACCATTCAAATACAGGTGAATTAGCACCACGAAAACCTTAACTAAAGCAACTAAAGGCCACGTTCTATGAAACTTGTCAGTTTTTGTTTCTGTGACATTTACATGCCCATAAAATCCCTTAAAAACCACAAACCACTTATTAGATTGTTACTCGATTGCTTCATTGCTTGAAAGCTTGCAATGTTTAACCAATGTTTTTACTTCTGAGGCAGTTTAGAAAAACAACAAAATCAAATTGTTCAGAAAATACCTCCTAAATCCTAAGATAAGACTTGCTCAGTGTCACTAATCATCAGGGAACTGCAAATCAAAACCAAACCACAATGACATATCACCTCACACCTGTCAGAATGGCTATTATCAAAAAGTCAACAAACAAACAAACAAGTAAAAAACAAAACAAAGAATTGAATCTATGAATAAAACATATGAAAAGTCAATAAACAAGTGCTAGTGAGGATGAGAAGAAAAGTGAATCCTCATGAATTGTTGGTGAGATTACAAATTGGTGCAACCACTATGGAAAAGAGTATGGAGGTTCTTAAGAAAATTAAAAATAGATCTAACGTATGATCCAACAATCCCACTTTGGGGTATTTACCCGAAGAAATCCAAAATGCTAATTCAAAAAGATACATGCACCCCTATATTCATTGCAGCATTATTATTGCAATAGCCAAGATATAGAAGCAACCCAAGTGTCCATTAATAGATGAATGGATAAAGAAAATGTATGGAAGACAGTATAGAGTTTCTCCAAAAAGTTAAAAATGGAACTCCCATTTGACCCAGTGATCCCACTTCTAGGAATATATCCCAAGAAGCCAGAAACACCAATCAGAAAGGATATATGCATCCCTATGTTCATAGCAGCACAATTTATCATAGCTAAGATTTGGAAACAGCCTAAGTGCCCATCAGCAGATGAAGGCTATTATCAAAAAGTCAACAAACAAACAAACAAGTAAAAAACAAAACAAAGAATTGAATCTATGAATAAAACATATGAAAAGTCAATAAACAAGTGCTAGTGAGGATGAGAAGAAAAGTGAATCCTCATGAATTGTTGGTGAGATTACAAATTGGTGCAACCACTATGGAAAAGAGTATGGAGGTTCTTAAGAAAATTAAAAATAGATCTAACGTATGATCCAACAATCCCACTTTGGGGTATTTACCCGAAGAAATCCAAAATGCTAATTCAAAAAGATACATGCACCCCTATATTCATTGCAGCATTATTATTGCAATAGCCAAGATATAGAAGCAACCCAAGTGTCCATTAATAGATGAATGGATAAAGAAAATGTATGGAAGACAGTATAGAGTTTCTCCAAAAAGTTAAAAATGGAACTCCCATTTGACCCAGTGATCCCACTTCTAGGAATATATCCCAAGAAGCCAGAAACACCAATCAGAAAGGATATATGCATCCCTATGTTCATAGCAGCACAATTTATCATAGCTAAGATTTGGAAACAGCCTAAGTGCCCATCAGCAGATGAATGGATTAGGAAACTGTGGTACATCTACACAATGGAATACTATGCTGCTGTAAAAAAGAAGGAATTCTTACCATTTGCAACAGCATGGATGGAACTGGAGAGCATTATGCTAAGTGAAATAAGCCAGTCAATGAAAGAAAAATACCACATGATCTCATTCATTTATGGATAATAAAGACCATTATAAACTGATGAACAAAAATAGATACAGAGGCAGAGCAGCATCGAACAGACTGTCAAACTATAGCAGGAAGGCTGGGGAGGGATGGAGGAGGGTGGGTAAGAGATCAACCGAAGAACTTGTATGCATGCATATAAGCATAACCAATGGACACAAGACATGGGGTGGTAGGGGAGGCCGGGGGAATGTCAAGGGGGGAAAAAAGGAGACATATGTAATACTCTTTGCAATACTTTAAGCAATAAAAACAAAATTAAAAAAAAAAAAGAAAATGTGGTACATATATACAATGCAATATTACTCAGCCATAAAAAAGTAAAATTTTGCCATTTACAACAATGGATGGAAATAGAGGGTATTATGCTAAGTAAAATATGTCTGACAAATGAGAAAGACAATATCATTTGATTCCAAAACAAATGAACAAACAAAACAGAAATAGAATTCATAGAAACAGATACTAAAGGGATGGGTGCCAGAAGGTTCGATGTGAGGGTCTGGGTGAAAAAGGGGAAGGGGAATGTAGTTCATAATATTGTGATAAGTTACATGGTGACAGATGACTACCAGAATTAGTGGGGTGATCACATTGTAAGGTATGAAAATGTTGAATCACTATATTGGACACGTGAAATTAATATAACCAGTATACCAACTATATTTAAATAAAAAATAATTGAAAAAGACTTCTACTACATTCCATTTTAAATTACCAATGGGTGAGACCACACCTTACTCATTTTCTTCTGTCCCACCACCCCAGTGCCTCTGACCAGGTGCTCGATCAGTGACTGTTTAATAATGACATTTCTCTCCTTCATACCATCCCAGTATTGCTGAGTTTTACTTATTTAATGACATACAAACTGCAGAGTCAAAGTCAGTCAAACCTCAGTTTAAAAATTAACCTGTCATTACTTTTATAAATTATTTTAAACCCAAATGACATTAACTAAAGCAAATCAAATCACCCAGGTTAACTACCTTTGGAATTTTATCCCTTTTTCCTTCTGTGCTGGTGTCATTCACCTTTTGATCATACCAATGACCTCTGCAAAGGACAAAAAGCATCTTGGACAATTCAATCTTAGCTGGACCGGCAGTACCTACGGAACCCAGAACCTTTTTTGTTTTGTTAATCCTCACCTGAGGATATTTTTTCCATTAATTTTTAGAGAGAGCAGAAGGGAGGGAGGGGGGGAGAGAGAAAGAGAAAGAGAGAGAGAGAGAAACATTGATGTGAGAGAGACACATCAATTGGTTGCCTCCTGAACATGCCCCTACTAGTGCCTGGGATTGAACCTACAACCGAAGTACGTGCTGTTGACTGAGATTCAAATGTGCGACCCTTTGGTACGCGGGCTGGTGCTCTAACCAGGGCCCATTGGTAACCTTTGAGGAGCTGCAGAGTTTTCTGTTACGCTGCCCAGGCAGGAGCAGCTCAGGGTGTCAGCTTACATGCCGCTGCCCTCAGCTCGGTGCCCATCAGTGGGATCCTCTGTCTGGACAGGAAACAGGATAAAGGAAGAGGAAGCTTGTTCATGCCCTGAAAGATTGCTGTCTCCACCTTGCACAGAAGAGCCATCTGTCAGGGAGTTTTGACATCACACATGTTCTCTTGGTGGGCACCTTTCCAGTGGGCCTTCAGCACTGGTTGTGCTCTCTCAGCATCCAGGTAGTTGAAATGGGATTTAGAGGGGAAAAGTAACAGGTGAAGCAAGAGGGAAGATACAACCATTCTCCATCTCCTGACGTTCTTTCTATCTGATATTTTTTTGCTGCCTTTCCCTGTCTGTCTGTCTTCCCTGTAGAGGTGTAGAGGCCATTTGGGGCAATGTTTGCCAATGACTGTCTGAAGGTGGAGTTTGGTGCATTCTCTCTTGGTGCTTAGATTTTATGTCAGCAGCCCATCAAGACACCCCAGGTTTCCACCAATAGTTTTAGCTGCACTTTATAATTAAGTTTTCCCTTTTTCCTTCCTTATTTCAGTTGGGATGTGATGGTCCTGTGGAGCTTATGGGGCCTCATTAGTGCATCCAGTGCTCTTGGTGTTCCTCTGTGTGTTACAGATGCTCCATAGATGGAACTGCCTTGGAATGACACATGTCAGCCCACAGGATTTCGGCCCTGGATGGGAGCAGCTCCCAAAGGCACAGCTCTAGCCTAGGTACCAGTCAGGCCGGAACTGGGCTGCTGCTGGGATTCAATCAGGCTGGCCTGCACAGGTGCCTAGGGTGCTCCCGCCCAGCACTCCCTACCAATGCATGCACTTTCTCTGCTGCACCTCTGAACCCACTTGTCTACATGCAGGTGGTCATTGGAACGGTCCATTTCTAGGTTTGCTGTGTATGGAGAGTGCATGTGTCTGTGTGTCCTGCACATTGCACAGTGCTGCCTGCTCCAGATTGCCAGCTCCCTGGTCACATGGGCTGCTTTTGCTTTTTATCTCTGTGGAGGATAAATGTAAATTATCAAAATACTGAGAGATGAAATCCTCTGAACCAGCTGTGAACAAGGACCCCTTCGTTTTTGTATCATGTTGTAAGAAGAAGAGGAGTTTACCTGGACAGGAGTGCCCCCGCTGTGTGGGTATGGGTGGATCTTTTGGAGAAGGGACAGCCTGCCTTTCATCTGTGAGGTTAACTTCTTTAATTGGCTGCAGAGAGAATAAATGGACTCTGTGTCTGGGCTGTGCTATCATCTGATCACATGCCTCCGGCTCTGTTCCAGATTCGGGCAAGGCTTTTCACAAGGTGAATGGAGAAAGGCTCCCTGTGCTGCTCAGCTCAACCTGAGCTCTCAGACAGCCTTGGGCCACAATCTCCTCTTGTGCCTCCAACAGGACTCAGTGCAGGAACCAGTGTGCTTAACCTTTAAAGCAGCAGTCGCCAACTGGTGGTCCGCGGTCCACTGGTGGTTCATGAGGCCCGAAAGGTTGGCGACCACTGCTTTAAAGAAATCATCTCTTTTTCTTCTTTGTTTTCCCCATTTCTTGAGGGCCTACTTCTCTATCTTCCTCATAGACCAACAGCGAAGGCCTGTCCTATGTCCCTGTCAGAAAGGGAAGAACATTTCAGGAAGTAGCTATTCTTTCCTTTTTAGTGGAATCACTTATATTGTTTTTCTTTCCTCTCCCTTCCTCTCCTCACATGTGTACCATGTTAAATTTAAGGGGCACCTGCCATGATTGTCAGGATCCTTCTCTGAGCATGAAATAGGGATTAATTTCCTTATCATAGAAGGAGGCGCTCTGGCAAGAATGACCCCATCCAAGCCCTCAGGCACCTGAAGGTCCTTTTCCAGCAGCCTATCAACTTGAGGTTGGGGACACAGCAGAGGGCCAATCCCTATAGCTATGACTTTTATTGTGGGTGCTAGGGAATAGCTGCAGGACTCTGAACTGGAGGGGGAGTGATCAGGCTCCTGCTTTTAATTTTGTTGTTGTTTTGTTATTTTTGTTAATCCTCACCGGAGGATATTTTTTCCATTGGTTTTAGAGAGAGAGAGAGAGAAAGAGAGAGAGAAATATTGATGTGAGAGACACATCGATTGGTTGCCTCCCTCAGGTGCCCCTCCCGGGCCAGGGATTGAACCTACACCCACCCTTGACTGGGAATCGAACCCACAATCCTTCTATGCATGGGCTGATGCTCTAACCACTTAGCAAACTGGCCAGAGTCCTGCTTTTAATTTTTAAAAAATACTTCATTGTGATAAAATACACATAACATTTACCACCTTAATTATTTTAAGTGTTTAGTTCAGTGACATTAAGTACATTCACACTGTTGTGCAACCATCACTACCATCCATCTCAAGAACTCTTTTCATCTTGCAAAACTGAAACTCTGTCTCCATTAAACAACTTCCAATTTCCCTCCCAGAGTCCTGGGCAGGCACCATTCTCTTTTCTGTACTTTCTGTCTCTATGGATTTGACAGCTCCACCTTACAAAGGGTCACCTGGCAATGACAGTTGAGCCTGCAGGAGGAGGCCAGTGAAGAGAGGAGTGTCAGAACCCAAGTTGGAAGTGATGGCCTGAGCTAAGTGTATAGCAGAGGGAATAGATTTTTTGAGAGATGTGAATATAATTGAGAGGACTTTTGCCACTGATGGAAAATGGGTGAGGTACGGGAGAGGCAGGGACCAAGGATGCTTCTTGTTGTACTAGTTGAGTGTTCTTGTCAAGACGGAGAGCTAGGAAGAGGAGCAGGTGTTGGGGTGGAGAGCCATGAGTTTAATTTATGGCAGGATGTGATATGTCTGAGGGAAAGTATCCAGTGCACAATTTAAATGTGGATCTGGAGTGGGAAGTGCGCTCTGGTGAGGTCTCAGCATCTTGATGGCACTAATGCCCTAGGAGCTGACAAGCCCTCCTGGAGAGTCTGGACACAGAGGGAGTCAAAGGGTGCAGCCTGGAACACCATCACTCAGAGAGAGCACGGGCAGGAGCAGAGCCTGCGAGGAGGACAGAGACAGGGAACTAGCAAGTTTTCGTGAAGATGCTTTTTAACTGTTCGTCTCCATCTGTGTTTGCTACATGAAGCTTAGAACACCGAAGAGACCCTGAGCCCAGCATCCCTGCTATACAGTGAGATAAAGTTCATCTGATACAGACACTGTTCCAGTTCCTATAATTCTGATTTTTAAAAAGGCCAGAAGTGAAATGTTTTTTATAAGAATTCAATGATTGAGGCAGGAGATAGTGATTCAAGTGAGGCATTGATTTATAATTTATTTTGAAAACAGGTGCCATCATCTCTCACTTTTTAAGAGGGCTGAGCAAGTGTGACCAGGGCAGGCTGGGAGCAGAAGCCATGAAAGTATAGCTGTATTTGCACTAGCCACCTCTTCTAGGCAGTGTCCTAGGAGAAATACATTTTCTTTTCCTTTTCTGTTGGAGTCATTTTAAAATGGATACTTCTTGTAGTTATTTGGTAACATGAGGTCCTACCAATTTTCACCTATGTATAAAGGAAAAACCACCTACAAGCAGCACCTGGGAAAGTTTACTGCAGCACGTGAGGTGTCGGGTTGTGTTAAGTGGTGCTGTCTGTGGACATCTGATAATTTTCTCTGGGAATCTTCAAGAATGGCTCCTCGAAGTCAACCAAGAAAATCAGAGCCAAATATTTTGGTGCTGGGCTGGACAAGCATTTCCATCAGGACCTGCTCCTGAGGACCGTCCCTCCTGTCCTAGACTTTGAACCCAGGTCAAGGCTGTGGGGGGGCGGTGGGGGTGGTTCTGGGCTGTGCAATTTATAGGTGAGGTTCGACTGGGAAGGTTGGTGTCTGAGACTCAACATGGGCAAGTTAAGGAAACGCCAAGTTTTGGGAAGATGCTGTCAGTCATTTCTAATGGACACAGAATTGCAGGACCAATGGTGACTGTCCTGGGAAGAGGTGGCTGGGGTCGGTGTGAAGTCCGCACAGCTGGTAGCAGTAAAATCCCCTAGAGGTCAGGGGTTTGGGAATAGCTGTAATGTATAGGATGGTGGTATGAACCTCCAAATTTTAACTCTTATGTTGGACATGATTCTTTAAACAAAACTATGTAATCCGGTGCTGGAGTTCCTTCTTTTTCTCTCTCCTTTGTGAATTAATACTCTGTTTTTTGAGTTTGCTGTCATTGGGAGCTGAATCCAAGGTTCCTTTCCAGAGAGGAATCTGCCCATCTGACCATCCGACAAAGGCAGCGAACAGGGTCTGCAGAATGATGCCCAAACTCTGGAGCTGCCTGTTGACTGTCTTCACTCCTGTCTCATAAGGTGAATCCCCCGTATTATGTCCCTCTGGTGGAGCTGGTCCCCCACCCGGAGACAGCCCCGGTGACAGTGGACAGGACCCACGCCCTGATGCAGAAGATCGGACAGTCCCCGGTCAGGGTCCTGAAGGAGGTCGATGGATTTGTCCTGAATCGCCTGCAGTATGCGGTCATCAGTGAGGCCTGGAGGCTGGTGCAGGTACGCAGGTTGCAGTGGCCAGTGGGGACAATAGTAGGGACAGTCTGAGGGAGGGTGGTAGAGGGGATGAGCGAGGGGGGAATTGGGGATGGTTGCTAGCCAAGAGGGAAAGCAGAGGGGAAACAGCTTCCTGGGGGCAGTGGCTGCAGGGAGTCAGCGTTCAGGCCTCCTCGCTGTTTCTGGAGCCTGTCAGCTGTTTTCTCAGGTGCAGTGAAAAGGCAATGAGGATAAACCTTCATTGTGTCAAAGATGCTGTTACATGGAGTCATTTGCTGTAGGACAGGATGATAGACTGTTTGCTACTCCTACGTGTGATTGCCACATAATTGTCTCCGGGTGACATACTGCATTTCCCATAGACTCAGACTACTCGCCCCCAGTGTTATCTTTTAAGAGGAAAAAAATTGCATTTTGAGTACAGTCCACATGTGCCCTCTAAACAAACCCAATTTATTTCAAGAGCTTGAGAAGAAACAATTATAATCTTTACACTTGTTAGTAACAGGTTTGTCTTATGTAGAAAAAGAACATTATTTATTTTTTCACAATTAACCTCATCCTCTAATGAAAGGATTTTGCATGTCACCCAAGAAGTGGCCTCCCTGCACACACTCCCAACCACATTTGTATGGGGACATGGTGCCCCAGGACTCAAAGTGCAGGACGGGTTTGTGCTCAGGTGGGTGAGGGCGCTGCCACCTGCACTGGGCCCACAGCTCCTGTCTGAGCCTTCTGCAGGCCTGTGGGTCCCAGCCTGGAACAGGGACAAAGACTCCACTCCCGCAGCTCCCAATGCAGGATGCAGCGGCCCTTCTGCCTCCCTGTTTGTTATTTGGGCACAACTCTGGAAGTTCCTCATTGACCTCACTGCCCTGTGCATTTGCCACACAACAGCTGCAACTCCGTGTTCTCACTGCTTAAATCCACTTAGTGGTCTTATATCTGCAAGACAGTGCTGTGGTTCCCACCATCAAGTTTGCAGTTTTAATTTCTTAGCAATTGCAGAATGTCTTTGGATTTCATTTTGTGGTAAGATATTTGAAAGAAACACTAAACTTAAAACAACCCTTTGGAGAGCTATTTAAAATATTTCCACTCGCTAAAGTAGGGGAACAATATAATAGATACAAGAAAAACTCAACATTACAGTAAAACATGGGAAGAGCCACAGAGGATTCTGTTGTCCCCTTCACTGGTTGGAGAGGTGGGACGGTGGAGCAGACTATTTGTCTGCTTTGTCTGTTTTCTTTATTTTTTTATTTATTTTCTTTATTGATTAAGGTATTACATATGTGTCCTAAACGCCCCCATACCCCCCCCACTCATGCCCTCACCCCCCTGGTATCTGTG